ATACAGTTGGTCCCATTTCATTTTGCTGATGTTTTCTTTAGCCGTGCAGAAGCTTTTTATTTTGATGCAGTCTCATTTGTTTATTCTTTCCTTTATGTCCCTTGCCCTGGACTCAATGTTTTCATGGGAGAATTTTACAACAAAACATTTAAGGAAGAGCTCACCCCTATGCTTCTCAGACTATTCCAAAAAATTCAAGAAGAGGGAAGACTCCCAGACTCTTTTTATGAAGCCAGCATCATCCTAATCCCCAAACCAGATAAAGACCAACAAATAAAGAAAACTATAGGGCAATATTGCTGATGAACATAGACGCTAAAATCCTCAACAAAATATTGGCAAACCATATCCAGCAATGTATTAAAAAGATCATACACCATGATCAAATGGGATTCATCCCAGGGATGCAAAGAGGGTACAATATTCTCAAATCAATTAATGCAATACATCACATAAATAAAAGGAAACACAAAAACCACATGATCATATTAATCAATGCAGAAAAAGCATTTCATAAGGTATGGCACCCATTTATGATAAAAACACTCAGCAAAGTGGGAGCAGAGGGACCATACCTCAACATGACAAAGGCCATATACAAGAAACCTGCAGCCAACACCATCCTCAACAGGCAAAAACTAAAAGCTTTCCCACTAAGATCAGGAACAAGACAGGGATGTTCACTTTCACCACTTCTATTCAACATAGTACTGGAAGTCCTAGCCACAGTGATCAAACAAGAAAAAGAAATAAAAGGCATCCAAATTGAAAAAGAGGAAATAAAGCTGTCACTGTTTGCAGATGACATGATAGTGTACACAGAAAACCCTATAGACTCCACCAAAAAACTACATGAGCTAATAAATGAATTTGGCAAAACAGCAGGATACAGAGTCAATACTCAGAAATCAAAGGCATTTTTGTATATCAACAATGAAATATCAGAAACAAATCAGGAAAAAAATCCCATTTGCTATAGCAACAAGAAAAATAAAGTACCTAGGAATAAACTTAACCGAGGAGGGAAAAGACCTTTACTCAGAAAACTACACAACAATGAAGAAAGAAGTTAAGGAAGACACAAATAAATAGAAGCACATACTATATTCATGGATTGGAAGAATTAACAAAATCAAAGTGGCCATACTACCCAAAGCAATTTACAGACCCAATGCAATCCCAATTACAATACCAATGACATATTTCACAGATACAGAACAAACATTTCAAAAATTTTTATGTGTTAGGTTGGAGTCGCTCAAGAAAACAGACAGACTCAGTGAGCTAAGAAGAGCAAGGTTTATTAGCAGGGAATAAGATGGAAACCGAAGCCAACCGAGAGACGGTAAAGGGAAAGTGGGGCCAACAAAGGGAGGTTGGGGAGCCAACCAAGAGAGGTTGGGACTTGCTGGATTGTTCTTAGCTCAAGGTTTTTAAATGCAAAAACCTGCAGTTGGGGTATCAGAGTCTGATTGACTAAAGCTGGTTGCTGGGTGAGAGCTGCATCCTGTTATGCTGGATAGGCTGACCCCAGACCCTAATCTTCCTGGGCAGGGTCTGCAGGTAGATTCCCGTGGTGCCATTTTCTCACCTGGTAATTTTCATTCCTCCTAGACCTGCCTAGATCTAACAATATGAAACCATAAACGACCCCAAATAGCTGCAGCAATTTTGAGAAAGAAGAACAAAGTAAGAGGGATCACAATACATGATATCAAACAATATTACAAGGTCACAGTTATGAAAAACTTTTTAAAACAGATGCGTGGAAGTTTCAGTTAACCACAGTGAACTGCAGTCCAAAAACATTAAATAAGGACTACTGGTCAAGACAGCAGCTTCAGTAAATATGACTCACCTCCTTAAACAACCTCATCACAAATTACAACTAAAATATAGAACAACCATCACTCAGAACCATCAGAAATTGAGTTCAATGGAAGTCTGAACCATGGAATTAAAGAAACCACATCCATCCAGACTGGTAGGAGGGGCACAGACACAGAATGGGCTGGTTCCATTTTTATCCAGGTAGGTGGATAAAAATTCAGGAGGAATATCTGAAGGGTAAGGACTCCCAGCCCAACACCAGGCCCCCCAACCCAGGGTTCCAGTGCCAGGAAAATAAGTCCCCATAATTTCTGGCAGCAAAAACCAACAGGGAATGAGTTGGTGGAAGACACTTCTGGAGTCCCAAGCAGTTCCCCTTAAAGAACCCACACATGGACTTACTCAGACTCATTCCCTCTGAGCTCCACCCTCATGGTAGCAGCTTGAAAGGCACCAGTGACATACAGGGAGAAATTGAAGTATCTAGCATCATGGCAAGAGCTGTGGGGACAGCTTTCTCCCAGACAAATGTAGGCGAAGGCCATTGTCACTTTTCTGTGACCCACAGAGCCACAGAGCCACAGAGCCACAGAGCCAGCAGGTGGGTGCCATATTTGAGACTCCATCAGCCTGGCTAACACTGTTTGCTCTGCCTTGGAGATCCCCTGAGACTCTATTTCATCCAACTTACAGGCCCACTCAAGCTGTTAACCCTGACTTTTCCATATGAATGGCTGGCCTTGAATCATGCTTGACAACTTCCTAAATCCTCTGAAATAAGCAACAGATGGCCTCAGTGAGCCCTCAGTCCCTGCTGCAGGCCTAGCACTAGCAGCAACCAGCATAGATGCACAGTTTGGCCTCACTTTGGAATCTCCAAGCCCAGCACAAGTAGCAGACATCTCAGATTGCTTTATAGTTTAGGTAGACTGGCCCTGGGCAACACACAAGTCAGGGCTGACCTTGGCCTGCACCACCTGGGAAATTCCAGAGCCTGAGCACCCAGTGGAGAGCTACAGACCACATCAGAGCATCATCAACCCAACCCTGCACAGCTAATCCTCCACAGAGGGTGGAGGTTGGTGGTCAGGGATCACAGCCAGTCCTTGTAACTGACAGGCCTGGGTAAATCCCTCCTATTGATGTGCCAACAGCAGTCAAGGCTCAACTTGGGTATATCAGCCCACATGAAAGGCACACCTTGAGGACCCAGCCTGGGTGATAGGGGAGTCTATGCCCCTGGACCCTACAGGACACCTACTACATTAGGCCATGCTAGCAACACAGGGAGTCACAGTAGATATACCTAATACATAGAAACAAACACAGGGAGGCTGCCAAAACAAGGAGACAAAGAAACATGGCCCAAATGAAAGAATGGATCAAAATTCCAGGAAGAGAACTAAACAAAAGGGGAATAAGCAATCTATCAGATGCAGAACTCAAAACACTGGTTATAAGGATGTTCAAGGAAGTTAGTGAGGACTTCAACAGCATAAAAAAGATCCTGTCAGAAACAAAGGACCTACTAATTGAAATAAAGAACAATTTATAGGGAAACAACAGTACAGTGAATGAAGCTGGGAATCAAATCACTGATTTGGAATATAAGGAAGCAAAAAATAGCCAATCAAAACGAGAGTAAAAAAGTATAGAAAAAACACAAGTATAGTATAAGCAGCCTATCAGAGAACACAATCATTCCAACATTTGCATTATAGGGGTGCCAGAAGGAGAAGAGAAAGAGCAAAATATTGGATATCTATTTGAAAAAAATAATGAAAGAAAATTTCCCTAATTTGAACAGATATACAAGTCCAGGAAGCACAGAGTCCCAAACAAAATGGATACAAAGAGATCCACTCCAAGAAACATTATAATTAAAATGTCAAAGGTTAAAGACAAAGAGGGAATCTTAAAAATGGCAAGAGAAAAGCAGTTAGTTACCTACAGGGGAGTTCTCATAAGACTGTCAGCTGATATCTCAAAAGAAAGTTTGCGGGGCAGAAGGGTTTGGCAAGAAGTATTCAAAGTCATGAAAAGCAAGGGCCTACAACCAAGATTACTCTATCCAGCAAAGCTATCATTTAGAATGGAAGGGAAGATAAAGTACTTCCCAGACAAGGTAAAGCTAAAGGAGTTCATTATGACAAAAACATTATTATAAGTCCCTTAAAGGGACTTATTTAAGAAGATCAAAACTATGAACAGTAAAAATGGCAATGAATACATACTGCCAACAATTGAATCTAAAAAGCAAACTAAACAAGCAAGCAGAGCAGAGACAGAATCATAGATGTGGAGAACATTGGGATGGTGATCACTGGGGAAGAGGGTCTGGGGTAATGGGGGAAAAGATGAAGGGATTCAGAAGTACAAATTGGTAGCTACAGAATAGGCAGGAGGATGTTAAGAGGAAGCATATGAAATGGAGTTGTCAAAGAATTTATATGCATAACCCATGGACATGAACAAAGCAGGGGGATTCGCCAGAGGAAGTGGGGGCAGGGTTCTGGGTGTACAGGGGCAAAGGAAAAAATGGGACAACTGTAATAAAATAATCAATACAAATAAAATAAAATATTAAATAAAAAAAATAAAAGAACAGTTTCCAGAAGTGATGGGAGGCAGAGGCAGGGCAGCTAAATACAGTTCTGAGGCCAGGGTTCAGCCTCAGAGGATCTGTCTGCTATTGACTGCTGCCCATCTCCCGTCCTGTTTGAGAGTCCCCTGTCCTTGTCCTGGGCTTGTTCCTTGCCTCTCACCTATCTTCAGAAACAATTCCCTCCTCCTCCCATCCCTGTGGTTAGTTAGGCCTGACTCTGACTGAGCCTCCCGGGAGCCTCTTTTTGCCCAAGGTCTCCAGCCAGACCTGTGAGTCCTGTGGATCCTGCGGGCCTGGAGTTATGGGGGAGGGGAGGGCCGGGGATCCTGGGGAGGTGAGTGTGGCTAAGGAGGTTAGCGCTGGGGGCTTTGGAGAATGTGGGGCTAAGACAGGGGTGGGCAGTGTGTAAGCCCGTGTGTTGCAACCCAGGCTTGTGTTTGGGTATTGGGGTTGAGACAACGTCCACGTCCACGTCCACGACTGGGAGGCGGGGAGGTTATTTCTGGGTCTGGGGCTGAGCGGGTGGCAGCACGCTGAACCTCTCTGACCAACGTCTCCTGTACCCAGGCCCGCCCTGTCGGTTGCGCCCAGCCTCCTGCACCAGGAGCTGTCCTGCCCGCTGTGTTTGCAGCTTTTCGACGCGCCCGTGACCGCAGAGTGCGGCCACAGCTTCTGCCGTGCCTGCCTTAGCCGAGCGGCAGGGGAGTCGGCGGCGGACCGCACGGCGCCCTGCCCGTGCTGCCAGGCACCCACGCGGCCGGCCGCAGGCGCTCAGCACCAACCTGCAGCTGGCGCGCCTGGTGGAGGGGCTGGCACAGGTGCTGCAAGGCCACTGCGAGGAGCACCTAGACCCGCTCAGCATCTACTGCAAGCAGGACCGCGCGCTTGTGTGCGGCGTGTGTGCCTCTCTGGGTTCGCACCGCGGCCACCGCCTGCTGCCTGCAGCTGAAGCCCACGCGCGCCTCAAGGTTTGGGACCCTGGCGGCCTCTGGCGGGGGGTCGGGTCATGTGGGACTGTAGGATGGGGCAGGGCCCATCAGGAGGTTACTGTATTGACTGGACTCTGAGCTGTAGGGCCCTAGGCACCTGGCCTTTGGGGGGAGACGTGGGAGGGCCGAGGGAGCGAGGGAATGGGAGGCTGACGAGCTGAAGGTGGGACCTGGCGGAGAGGGAGAGCCTTGAAGAGTTGCCCAGGTGCCCGCCCTGGTGGGACTGGTTCATCGCAACCTGATTTTCCAGGCGCCTGGGCACGCAGCACCCGCTTTGTCTGCAACCGGATTTGGCTCCGAGGCTGAAGTCAAGATTGTTTTTAAGGGGACTTGGGGCCAATATGGAGGCATAGGTAGACACACTGTGCCTCCTCACACAACCAAGATAGGGACAACAATAATTTAGAAATAGAATAACAACCAGAACTGACAGAAAATTGAACTGTATGGAAGTCGGACAACCAAGAAGTTAAAACAGACACACGTTCATCCAGACTGGTAGGAGGGGTGGAGTTGGGCACCAGGGTGCTAGGTGCAGCATGGAGAGCAGAGAGGGTTAGGACGGGGCGAGTAAGGCATCTGGGGCGTGCAAGACCACAGTGAGTGGACCCTGATTGTGCAGGTGGCAACCGGCAGACCCAGCAAGGCCGCGATTGTGAAGCAAGGCACTGCCTGCAACCCAGGATCACAGTGCTATGAAATAGAGCCTTGGGACACTGATTGAAAACACCTGTGGGGGTTGAGGCACAGAGAGAGACTCCCAGCCTGACAGGAGAGGTTGTTGGAAAGTCCCACAGGGTGCACAAGTCCACCCACAGGGGAATTGGCACCAGAGGGGCTCACTTCGCTCCGGGGAAGCAGCAGAAGGGACTGAGGACTGAGGGAGAGCAGAGCAAGTGCCATTGTTCCCTCTTGGACCCCACCCCCACATGCAGTGTCACAACCCAGTGACTAGGGTGCCCCACCCTGGTGAACACCTAAGGCTCCGCCCCTCATATATAACAGGCACAACCAGACCAAAGGGAAAAAAAAAAGATGGCCCAAACAAAATTGAAAGCCTCACAAGCACTACTTCTAAGCAATCAAGAGATAGCCAACCTATCAGATGCACAGTTCAAAGCACTGGTGATCAGGATGCTCACAGAATTGGTTGATTTTCGTCACAAGTTAGATGAAAAAAACGAAGGCTACAATAAGTGAAATGAAGAAAAATGTACAGGGAACCAATAGTGATGGAATGAAAGCTGGGTCTCACATCAATGGAGTGGACCAGAAGGAAGAAAGAAACAACCAAACAGAAAAGAATGGAGAAATAAGAATTCCAAAAAAATGAGGAGAGGCTTAGGAACCTCCAGGACATCTTGAAACGATCCAACATCCGAATTATAGCGGTTCCAGAAGGAGAAGAAGAAGAGCAACAAGTGGAAAACTTATTTGAACTAATAATAAAGGAGAACTTCCCCATTCTGGCAAAGGAAATAGACTTCCAAAAAGTCCAGGAAGCTCAGAGAGTCCCAAAGAAGTTGGACCAAAGAAGGAACACACCAAGGCACATCATAATTACACTAGCCAAGGTAAAAATGAAGGGGAGAATCCTAGAAGCAGCAAGAGATAAGGAGTCAGTCACCTACAAAGGAGTTCTCATCAGACTTACAGCTAATTTCTCAAAAGAGACCTTGCAGGTAAGAAGGGGCTAGAAAGAAGTATTCCAAGTCATGAAAGGCAAGGACCTACATCCCAGATTGCTCTATCCAGCAAAGCTTTCATTTAGAATGGAAGGGCAGATAAAGTGCTTCTCAGATAAAGTCAAATTAAAGGAGTTCATCATCACCAAGCCCTTATTTTATGAAATGTTAAAGGGACTTATCTAAGAAAAAGAAGATTAAAAACATGTATAGTAAAATGACAGCAAACTCACAATTATTAACAACCACACCTAAAACAAAAACAAAAAGAAACTTAACAAACAACTAGAACAGGAACAGAACCACAGAAATGGAGATCACATGGAGGGTTATCAACAGGGGAGTGGGAGGAGGAGAGAAGGGGAAAAGGTACAGAGAATAAGTAGCATAGATGGTAGGTAGAAAATAGACAGGTGGAGGGCAAGAATAGTATGGGAAATGTAGAAGCTAAAAAACGTATGACACATGGACGTGAATTAAAGGGGGGGAATGTGGGTGGGAGAGGGTGTGCAGGGTAGAGGGGAATGAAGGGGGGGAATGGAACAACTGTAATAGCATAATCAATCAAATATACTTTTAAAAAATTAAAAACTAAAAATGCAAAAAAAAATTGTTTTTAAGGGAAGTGAGAGGAGGCTGCCAATTTGGTGCAACCACCAGCAGGGTGCAGATGACTGGTCCCATTCTGCTGAAGAGGAAACTGAGGTTGGAAGCCATGGAACCCCCTAATTCCAGGGCCATGCACCTCCCAGCAAAGAGTGGCTTTGGCAGGCGGTATTAAGACCTCCCCAACAACCTGCATTTCAGGAGCCATAAACTGGTAGCCCATTGTGTGCAGGGAGGCTGATTGGGGTGTTTTGCTAATGTCCTGCTTTTAAGTGTGGGGTGAAGCCCAGGAATAGGAGGAGGTTGAATTTCTTCTTCACATATCCTACATTCACTGCCTGAAGCCTGTCAGTGCCAACTTTGTACCCCTCTGGTGGAGGACACCCAATCACACTTAGACTTGTCACCCTCATAAAGTCCTGGCTGGGGGTGACTGTCGAGGGAATGGGCTCAGGCTAGAGAGGACATAACCTGAACAGGCAAGTGGAGGGTAAGGCTTCCTAGATGTCAAGGACCAGTACTAGCGAGGGCCTGGAGAGCTACCAGTGGATTTGGGAAATGGCAAGATGCCAGCTTGGCTGGAGGAAGAGCTGGCATTGAGGTGAGTCCTACAGGGCGGGGCCAGGTGGGGGAGGGCAGCAGCATCACTTCTTTATGTCTCACCCCCAGACACAGCTCCCACAACAGAAGCTGCAGCTGCAGGAGGCACGTACGCGCAAGGAGAAGAGTGTGGCAGTACTGGAGCATCAGCTGACGGAGGTGGAGGTGAGGGGCTTAGCCTGGCAGAGCCCGGGGACAGAGGGTCCATGCTGGGGGTCCCCAACTGAGTGCTTTTGCCTGTCTGCCCCCACAGGAGACAGTGCGTCAGTTCCAGGGGGCTGTGGGGGAGCAGCTGGGCAAGATGAGGGACTTCCTGGCTGCACTGGAGGGTTCCTTGGACAGTGAAGCAGAGCGTGTGCGGAGTGAGGCTGGGGTTGCCTTGCGGCGGGAGCTGGGGAGCCTGAACTCTTACCTGGAGCAGTTGCGGCAGATGGAGAAGGTGCTGGATGAGGTGGTGGACAAGCCTCAGACTGAGTTCCTCATGGTGAGCACTGGATGATCTTCCTTCTCTGCCCCTCAGCCAGGGTTCAGGCCCCAGAGACCTCATCCCATGATCAGACAGGGACCCTGAGATCCAGGGAGGGCAGGGACAAGCCAGGGTCACACATGGAGGAAGTGTGGGTCCCAGGACTGCCATTATGGTTGTTGAGGTTAGGCACAGCACAAGGGCACTGTATCTAAGTGGGTGCCATTCATATCATAGACGTTGTAGGTTTGTATATTTCTTAGGGCAATCGTCTACCACGTGGAATTAGTTTCTTGAGGAAGGGGTACCTTTTTCTAATTCACATAGAGATAAAGGGCTACAGTTGGCCTTGAATTCTGGATTTCTTGGCTTTTCTGGTTCTTCCTGACCCCATACTTAGCATTCTTGGTCCACCCCATCCTGAGAAGTCTCCAGTGTCCTTCCTGCCTGCCTCACTTCTGTTTTCTTTCTCTCTCTCCAGAAATACTGTCTGGTGACCAGCAGGTGAGATCATCCTGTCCTTTCCCTTTTCCCAACTTGCTCTGGCCTTCAGGGACCCTGGCTGGCTCACCCCCTACTCACAGTATGCCTGCCTACTCCCATTCAGTCCACTGCAATTTCCCTGCACTTTGTGTTGAACATAGAAATGAACCTGACCCGCTCCTTCTCCTCAGGAACCCTCCAGACAAGTGTGGGCAGGGACATAGGCATCACGGTGTGCTCAGTGCTGCCTGGAGGGAAGTGGGTGGCCAGGGCAGGCTTTCCAGAGGAGTGCACAGTTGAGTTGGACGCTGAGGGAGGAACTGGAATTAGCTAGGTAAAGAGTTGGGGGAAAGCATTGCAGGCAGAGGGAACACCAAGTGCAGAGATCGGTAAGAGGGAGGAGAGATGAAGCTAGTGTGGCAGGTGGTGACAAACTGTGAAGAGTGGAGAAGCTTGGACCTTATCCCCCCGAAAAAGACTTTAAAAAATGTTATGTACTTTTAGAGAGAGGAGAAGGGAGGGTGAAAGAGAGGGAGAGAAACGTCAATTGGTTACCTCTCACATGCACCCCGATGGGAGCGAACCCACACACGGTAACCTCGGCATGTGCCCTGACCAGGAATTGAACTGCAACCTCTGCACTTTGCAGGATAATGCCCACAACTGAGCCACACTGAACAGGGCCTGTGTGGTTGCTTCTACCTTTGAATGGCAGGACCAGGAATCTTGAGTCAAGCCTCAGTATTGCTAGACAGTCTTCTTCTTTTTTTTTTTTAATTTAAACCTTGTGTAATTTTATTTTTTAAAAGATTTTATATATTTATTTTAGAGAGGGGAAGGGAGGGAGAAAGAGAGGGAGAGAAACACCAATGTGTGGTCACCTCTCATGTGCCCCTTGTTGGGGGCGTGGCTTGCAACCCAGGCATGTGCCCTCACTGGTAATTGAACCCGTGACCCTTTGGTTTGCAGGTGGGCACTCAATCCACTGAGCCACACCAGTCAGGGTTGCTGACAGTCTTACCACAAGGGTTCAAAAACTCCCAATGATTTTTGGGGAGATGCTTTGTCAGGATTTAAAAGATGTAAAACTAGAAAAAGAAACTGTTAACAATATGTAGATATATAATTTAACTAATACTATAGCCACCTGGAACCATTTGGCATCTTGTGGCTATAAAGTATCAGCACAGAAGGCCCAGATTTGCCAACAAGCTGTAAGGTTTCTTGGGTTTCCACATGAACCTGCAAAAGGAGTCTTATTTACTTGTCAAAGAAACTAGATCACACTTTCCAGGGTGGTCAGCTGGCTTGAGAGCTGTGGTAGCCACCTGTGAACTCCTATAGGAAGCTGAAAAGTTTTCCTTGGGACAACCAGTCACCATTTATGCAGCCCACCAAGTACTGAGCTTGCTAGAGCAAAAGGAAATTTGTGGCTCACTGCTAGGAGAATAAGCATGTACCAAGCAATTCAAAACTGTAAGTTAATTCCTGCCTCTCTTCTCCCAGAGCCTGACTCAGCTGTGTTAATGCATGATTGTGCTGAAATAATTGATGAAGTTTATTCTACCAGAATTGATTAAAATAAAAAAGAGTGAATGTATATCTGAAAGGAAAGAAGACCATTAACCTCCAATAAAAAGGAAATTAAGCATGCAACAGAAAATTTAAATTATTAGAGGCTGTTCAAGTACTTTTACAGGTGGCAGTTATGCACGCCCAGGGCATTGAAAAGAGGACCCTGAAGTGGTTAGAGGAAACAATCTGGCTGATTGAGCAGCAAAAGAGGCTGCTAAAGGAACATTTATAAAACCTTTGGTACCTGTTCTAGACTTGTCACAATTTAACCCTGGATATTCGAGTGCAGACTTAGAGAAAGCTGAGAGCTGGGGTTTTGATGAAGAAGGTGCTGAGAGTGGATGGAGAAAGAATAAGAAAAGTGTTATACTGCTTTCTGAACATTTAGTAGAGCTAGTCATGAAGCATTTGCATGAGGCCACTCACTATGTATAGGACTCATTAACTGCATATATTAAACTGTGGCTCACAGGTCCTGAAATTTCTAAAGTCATATGAAAAATAATTGCTAGATGTGTTATGTGCCAGAAGAACAACCCCAAGCCAGATTCCCATCAAAAGAAAGAAGGGAAACGATACCAGGTGACAGGGGACTCAAGACTTGGAAATTTTTAGCTTAAGGTAAAAAGTTATAAATCTAGCAAGTAATGTGTATGTTAAAGCTTTTGTTTCAGAAACTACAGATAAGGCCCATCCTGGCTCCTGGGAAAACAGCTAGCCTCCTGGGGCACTGATAGAAGATTACTGCCTGGGGACATCAGGACCTTTTGTGCTCCAGGAAGATACAGATGACTGCCATTCCTGGGAACAGCTAACTGCCCAGAACAGGTATGCTGCAGCTTTGCTCACCTAAACCTCCCTGAATTTCAAAGCCCTCACTGCACCTTGTGTATCCACCCACCACCTTATAAAAGGTCTGGCCTGGAAAGAAAAGACAAGATGGTCTTTTAGGGTATGAACCCACCATCTTCTCAGATCTCCAGCCACCTGAATAAAGTGCCCATAAAAGATTCAATCACTGTCACTGTCATTGGATTTGGTAGTGACAGATAGCCTGAATGCTTGTGTCTTTTCTGGTTAAAAAAGGGACAGAGCCCACTTGAGGACTGGCAAATAGACCCAGATGCCAAGGGTCCGAGGGCAGAAATATTTGCTAGTTTTTGTTTACATCTTTTCAGGATGGGTGGAAGCCTATCCTACTAGAATGGAGAAAGCCTCGAGGTAGTGACAGACTTACTGAAGGGCATTGTTGACAGGAGAGGCCTGGTTCTTCTTGCTGACACACGTAAAGAATTACAGATCAGCAAATCTATTAGCATGTAATCAGTTTATTAGTGACCCGTTTCCATGGAAGAGAACAGGACTAGATAGAGTGGGGGGTGAAAGGCAAAGTTTCAGGGCAAAGCAGAGCAGCAAAAGTAAGAGCAGCTAAAGACTGGGGTGGCAAGCCCCCCAAGTGGCCAGATGCTAGGTGGCCACAGGCCCAGTGACCCGGGAGCCAAGAGCACCCTGAGCCCCCAAGAGAGACTGAGTCCTTTGTTCTGAGGACTTAGATAGTGGGTGGAATAGGAGAAAAAAAAGTTACATATTGATTAATGGGTAAATGTGGTGCCAGCTTTCCTGGGGGAATGTGACTACCCAAACTTAGGGTTGTGTGGGGGTCTGTTAGCCTGAGTCCTTTTCTTGCTTCAGACCCCATTTGTTCATCTTCTTGTAAAACAAGTACGTGACAGGAGGCAGTTATTAAAGTTGGGGCAGTTACCCAAATTTATTTAAGAGAAAATTTATTTATTACAGAAAATTCTTTCTGTAAGCATCAGGGACTCCCTCCTAAAACAGATAGTGACCAGAGGTAAACAATTAACCAAAGTTGTTTTATGGGCTTCTTCTTTGGGCACTGGGGACCCTCTCCCACATTCTGGCCCTGGGATGAAAGTACCGTTTCAAGGCTTTCTTTCCCAGATAGTGGAAATGCTACACAGAATTCAAGGTCTTCCCTTCTTTCTTGCTAACACAGTGTTTCTTGTGATGTTGGAACACCTGGCAATATTATCAGACCAGACTCAGGACTGCTGAGTTAGCATGTGAGACATGTCTCCTTCTTCCTCCTTGCCTCGGTTTACTATTTATTCGACCTAAGTGGTAAAAGGTGTTTCCTGACAACCAGGGTGCTAGATGCTGGCCCATAACAGCAGCACAGTCTCACAGTTCTTTCTATTGCTGTCTTCTGCCTCAGCATGACTCCTTGCTTTGGCCTACCCAGCAGCATCCAGAGCAATAATGGACCTGCTTTTGTTTCAGAAATTACACAGAAGGTAAGTTAATTTTTAGGAATCATGTGGAGACTCCACATGGCATGGAGACCTCAGACTTCTTGGAAAGTAGAAACAATGAATCACACCTTGAAGAAAAATATAGTCAAGCTGTGCCAAGAAACTCATTTCTATTAGGATCATGTTTTACCTATTGTCCTACTCAGGGTAAGGGTGGCTCATCAAAGTGGGATTCAATTGAGTCCTTATGAAATTGTGTATGGGTGACCATTTCAGGCTATGATTATAGTGGGAGATATGTACATAGATCAAGAAGAAAAGGTAAAGAAAATGTACAACTTTTAAGTCAGACATTAATTGTGATCAATGACCTTGCTTGTGATAGAGAACTCTCCCCTACAGATTGCTACATTCTTTTGAGCCGGGAGATAAGGTGCTACTCAAGACTTGGATGACAGCATCTCCAGAAAGCCAACTAGAAGAAAAGTGGACTGAACCTTGGGATGTACTCCTCACCACCCCCCACCATCTTGAAGCTAGCAGATATAAAACCTTGAATTCATCACCAGAGTAAGGAAAGCACTGGAGGAATGATGGACCACTGAACCTCAAGAAGACCTGGAAGTCGTCTTTCAAAAACAATAACTTATATTCTTTTCATTACTTTTTGTTTAACCCCATGTAATGGAGAGTTTGTTCCTTTCAATGAGATGAAAATATATGGGTATATTTAACAAAAATGTTCTGAACAACTCTGAATTTTATCTTTCAGGAGGAACTTATGTTGAACAAACTTTCACTACATGTCTTATAGGTGTTTGTACTCCCCTGGAAAGCCTTTGAAATTATACTGTGTTTAAGCATATCAATAAGAAAATGACCTACTCTGATATTTATAATTGGGGACCTATGGTAACTCTAAAGGACAGAAAATTTTTTTCCTTTAAAGTCACCAATGTAGCCCCAGCTGGAGAGTGTGCGACTTGTGTAATGTGTGGTAAACACTGTTTTAGATTAATTGCAACACCACCACTAATGCAGCTTATGTCTTTAGTCATGATGTCAAATTACCTGCAGGGTGGTTTCTAATATGTAGAAGGACTGTTTGTTCAACTGCAAAATGATTACTTCCATATGAAACTAATCTCATAGAAATGAGGTAATTAGAAATTAACCA